GTGTGTGTGTCTGCGCATGCATGTGTGCGTGTGCCCATGTGCGTGTGGGTGTGTGTGTCCGTGTGCATGTGCATGTACGTGTGCATGTATGTGTGTGTGTGATTTTGCATGAGTAATTCTAAAGATACCCTTGTTCCTTTACAGGACTATGGTCACTCAGACAGACACGACTAGGCGAGATTTCACATTGATTTTCGTTCACAAATTTGAATATTCAAGTCTTGGCATCATTATTTTACGAGAACCTTGCATTTTCTATCTTGATGAGTCCTGGGATTTCCTCTAGTTGATTTCTATTATCAAAGAGTTAAAATATCAAACCATTGTAGAATCTTGAAACAAAAGTCTTCACTTGAACATAGTTGGGTGCCAAAGTTGACTTCAAAGAGATGACTAGGTGTTAAGATAAATTTTCTAGGAATTTGAACAATAACATCTTCAAAAGGATAACTTGATAACCATCTTGGTGCTGAGAGTATCTTCAACCACTTGATATATATTTAAGAGATTGGGACTTTACTCGTTATTGTTAGATACCAGGTGTTGTCATCATCAAAACCAAATAGTTGATTGCAATATTCATATCAGCAAACTCCACAACTTTAGATCTCCTTGATAGTACCTGAAAGCACATAGATTCATATTCACCCCCTTTTTGATGATGATAACTCATATCTCAGTGAAGTGGTAAAAGAGAAAATAAAAGGATAAAGATTGGAGTCATTCAACCCCCCTTCACACGAGTAGAGAGCCTATTTTACTCCCTCTGAAAGTATACTTTCCCTCCTTTGGCATAATAAAAAATGTGGGAAAAAGATGTGAGAAAAGAATGATAAAAAGGCACATTGTTCACATCATCACACATAATTTACTAGAAAAATTCATTAATTAATTGAAAGCGAGAATACAAGAAAAACATGGGTAAGAAATCAATATAACAACAAAGAAATAAAGAAAGCAAAAATAATCAATCTCCTCATCATCGTCGATGAATATGCTCAGAGAATCCGTAAACCTAATTCCAGTCATGACGAGCTTTTGGGCTATGTGACACACTTTTGAGTCTATCCATCTTTAGATTGGAGCTTATTGGTTTTTGATAAGTGCGTTGAGAAGAGATTCATATGAGGTAGTCTGAGAGATTTCATAATTAAAATCCTCTAGAGTTGCATTTTCTTCTTGCCGAGGTTTACTTGTAGAAGCTCTTCTTCCTTTTGGAGGAAACTAAACTGATACTATATTGTTTATCTTCAATCTCATCCGCCCCAGGTTGTTACTTCCTATTCCTGTGTGCCCTTTTAGTGAATCCTATTTCTCTAGGTTAAAGCCAACATGCTCTAATATACTTATTATCATACAACCATATGGCAATCACACATTTTTCTTCTTGCTCAATGTATCATCGCACTTTCCTATTTAGTTTCAACTTTATTATTTAGAAACTGTCATACCCAAATTTTGTCCTACCTATAATGAACTGCATTTGCTTTCCATTTTTCATTCTCATGATCATTACATTTGGACATGTTCTTCTTCATAAAGAAAGTCCCCAAAGTAAAAATGCTCCATCGTGTTGGCCCCCCTGAATTGACCCCAACAATGGTATCATAAGCCTTTGGTTCGAGTGAAGAGATCAACTCATTTGTATCAAAAGTATCCCTATACAAGCAACAACATCAAACCACACCCTCACATACTCTAATTTATCTACTGAAGGCCTAAAAAATTGATCCGCAATAAGGCGTCAATGAAGATAACACGATCCAATCCTCCCCCCCCCCCCCCCCCCCCCCCCCCCCCCCCCCCCCCGCTCCGACAGAACATACCCACTTACTATAACTACCACAACACCAACTCAGAATCAAATAAAAAATCAGTAGAGGCTTCAAATCCCCGAGAGAAATAACATGAATGATCTTAATAATATATGACGAGCCACTTCTAGAGCACCCAAACTAGATACCCCAAAAGATCTATTAAATGACTAAGAGAACAACACCGCCACCCAAAACGAACCATCAATGACTAAGCAAAAACCAAATTCGGACTGACTGTGATTAAACAACAACATCAAGCACATAAACACCCCGCCACTATCTTACCTCACCTGCAGAGGAAAAACGACGCCAGAAGACTACACCAACCAAAAACACCACAAAGGTAAGACTGTCCACCTCCCTTATGATGGACCCAAGCAACACCCTCAATGACCACATAACTACACTCTCTTGCTCTAACCATACAAAGATAACAATAACACCCAGACCAAAACCAAATCCTGGAAGAGAAACTCAAGAAACACCCTAGCCACCTTATTGTAAAAACAATAGTTCCTGAGCAAAACTTGCCTCTGCCTAGATACAAAGCTGTTACACTTCTGGACTTCTTCTAAAACTATCAAGAAGCCTCCAAGAAATTCCTTGAAAATAGCCTACCCGCAACAGAAGAGACAACTCTAAAAAATGAAAACCTCTGAATTCTGATATTTTCCCTTGCCTTTTTTCGAACTGTAGGATAGCGAACCAACTACTAAGAATTTCTCCAACACTCCCAAAAGCTACTTTGCAAAACTGTAGCCTCTGATAAATTTAAACTAGCTTCAAACATCAATAACTCCTAAGCAGGCTTTTGGTGACACATACCACTGACCCATGTCACACTCTATAAAGTTTGCTTTTAATTTTAACCACTTCCACAATGACATTTTTACCTCTTCGACAATTTTTTCAACATGGATTTCTTCATCTCGGAATATTTTGGCATTTCTTGACTTCCAAACACTCCAAACACAAGCAAACCAAATCACTACTACTTTTTTTTTATAACGATCTCCCTTTTCCAAGCAAGTTTTCAAAGTGTTCCATGTGCTGCCGACCATCTTTATGAGAGACATAGAAACTCCAATCTATTTGAGAATGGTACTCCATACCCCTGCAAAAACTAGACACTCGAAAAAAAGGTGAGAAACCGACTCTTCCTTCGCGCATTCTCCTATACACTTCTCCCCACCCTGAGATACTATTCCTCTTTTAGCTAAATTGTCTCTAGTTGGCAGTGTATTATGAAGCATTCTCCACACCAAGATGGAAAATTTTATGGTATCGCCTTGTTCGAAACTTTCGACCAATAATACTCTTGAATCGAAGTGTCTTCTGCCGTTAAATCTTTGTATACATCTTTCACCTAGTATTTGTTTAAACTTTCTACCTCTCCTATGTTCAAGTTAACTATTGTCTTCCACCAGCTTGATGAGCCAGAGTTTCCTAGATTTCACTCCAAACTATTCACCCCATATCTATTTAATAGAGCTGTATATCATATATCCATTTTTTCTATCTTAACTTTCCGTTTCCATTTTCCTAGTAAAGCTAAGTTGAAGAGCCTCAAATTTCTAACTCCTAGACCTCTTTCTTCAATTGGTCTACACACTTTATCCCATTTGATTCAATTTATTTTCCTCTCATTCTCACAATCCCCAAAGAAATTGTTTGAAAATAGAATCTAATTTAGATATGACACCTGTCAGATCCTTAAAAAAAAGTATACCGAAATCACGTATAAGATAAAATTTAAGATAAGAATCCTACCTCAAATGGATATTTATTTTTCCAACTTGACCGCCTATCTTTCACAGTATTGATCCCGAATTAACCTTAACAAAAATCAATTTTCTAAAGTTTTAAAGTAATAAAGAGAATTTCTTTTAAAATGCATTTTGTTGACTGAATCATTGTCATTAATATTTATTGTTTTGGTATATTAGATTGATGTTCACCACCTTTTCTTAAATAGTCGAGATGTCAACTTAAAATTTTTTAGTATGACTAGCATTAGGGGTGGACAAACGGACGGTTCCGGTCAACTTTGAGTTGTAAATCTTTATAGGAAGAAGTTTGTCGGGCATAGAATTTCAATCTATCTCCGACCATTTTAGTGATTGTCTGTTTTGTGTTTCGAACTTTTTCAAAATCGAATTGATCGGTTGGATTGAAATGGTGAAAGAGAACGAATAAAAATTTTAGTCACCAATAGATTTAAACTCGTTAAAGTCAAAGTAAACTATCACCGTTCAAGCAAAGAGAAAGTTAATGTGATAAATGAAGAGAAGAGAAGAAGGTTTGAAAGTTAATGTGATAAATGAAGAGAAGAGAAGAGAACAAACCTTCGGTGTTAGTGTTAGCATCCCCGTCCAAAAGTTAAAGCACTACGTTAGTTTCACTTCAAAACCAGTTTTTTATGTGTAGTTTATTTCCATCTTTGGTTTTCAAGCTACTAAGTATTAGGTTCAACAATAATAAAAAAAATACTCTCTCTCTTAACATTTTAAGATGCAGTACTTATTATACATGTCAATTGTCAATTTTTACTGCATGTTCCAAGACAGCTTTTATAGATATACCGCTAATTGTCACATTACTTTACTTTTACAGAGCCAGCATCATACAAATCTGAATAAAATTTGATATTAAAAAAAAATTTGGTCGGTTGAAATTTAGAACGGGTTCAGTTTATTCATCCGAACTCAACCACCTTTAACCACATAGATCCAACGATGCTAAACCGAGAATCGAATAACACGTATCAATCCACCCATTTGTCTATTTTCACTACCGGTTTAATCGATTTTTGACTGGGGTTCAGTTTTTTGTCCACCCCTAACTAGCATAGGTTGAAGATTCCTGTCTCTCGAACTTTGGTACATAAAAATGCCATGACTCATATAGTGGTTATCAACCACGTGTCCCTAAATTCCTAAACCGCCATGCTTATATCAAGTTACCTTCCTGACTAACACATGGCAAATACGTGTAAGGTGCTTAACTACGTCCCCGTCCAAAACTCACCACGTGTCCTACATTTGACACGTGTTAGAGAGGCAGCTTGTGGAACCTAAATCTATTTAAGAAAAAGAGTGCATTGTTCTTCATCAACATCAAGCAAAAGAAAACAAACCTAGAAAGTCAAAAAAAAAGGAATTGATCATTGAAAATAAGTTGAAAATGCAGGGAGCAAAGAAAGCCGGAGAGACCATTAAGGAAACAGCTGCCAACATTGGTGCTTCAGCAAAATCTGGTATGGAGAAGACCAAAGCCACCGTCCAAGAAAAGGTATCCTTAATTTCGTTCTCCTATATCAACTTATTTTCCCGTTATTTTGCATGTTCAGAATTTACGTAGAAACAATGACATTTTAGCCGAACACAAACTTGTAAAATGTATGGTGTTTAAATCATTAAAATATGTTTATAAAAATACAGACTGAGAAAATGAGCGCACGTGATCCGATACAAAAAGAGACGGCAACCCACAAGAAAGAGGCAAAGAAGAACCAGGCAGAGTTAGATAAGCAGATGGCGCGTGAACACAACGCGGCAGTTAAGGAATCTACCACGGCAGCCCAAATGGGTCAGGCCCACCACAACACGGGGACTGGAACCACCACATACCCTACCACGGGTGCCCACCAGGCCGGCACGTACTCTACAACAGGAAATTATGGACAGCCCACGGGGACGCATGAGATGTCAGCCATGCCTGGACATCACAGTGACCATGTTACACAGGGAGTGGTGGGCTCACACACTATTGGGACCCATAGAGACGGGACTGCTACGGCTCATAATACTCGTGTTGGTGAAAATCCAAATGCCACAGGGTATACCACTGGTGGTAATTACAAGTGAATAACTTAGTATGTGGTTAGAGAGTGTGATTGTTTTTCTTTTCGGTCATTGTTTTGTAACTTGTTTTGTCTCATTTCTGTTTTTGTTTTGGTGTAAGCTTGGGGATGTTCCTATTAGTACTATAGTACGTGGAAAATTCTGTACCATGGACTTGTAATTTCATTTTGCTTAAACAAAAATGGTTTGTAAAAATGATCAAGTGGTTGAGTTTTGTTTTATTTTAAATTAAATATGAATAAAGTAAAATCATTTTTACATTTTTTAATAATTTAGTTGATATACCTTTTTTTGTTTTGAGTTTAATTGAAATATACTTTTTTATTTGAGTTTATTTGATATACATTAATAAATTATTATATTTTTATATCGTTAATGTAAGTAATATTACACAAATATTTAATTAAATTACTTAAATTATAATATTTTAATTTTAAAATAGAAGTGTGATACATGGTGAGAATTCTCACGTTTGTTTTGGCGCCTTTTTGTTTATCGTTTTAATAATAATTCAATCTTTTTATTGAATTAAAACCGTTTTAATAATTCAATCTTTTTATTATTGAATCAGTGAAACCGATCCAGAACCTTGAAAAACTGGTGGTGTAAATGCATGTTTTTCATGTTTTTTCTATAATTTATTTAAATTTGTATTTGTATTTTGTTATTTCGTGTTTATGATGGCTACATTAAAGAATGAATCTCTGATGATATTTTGATGTCTATATATTTTATAGTGATCTTATTTGATTTAATAATCATGTAATTTATTTTTAAAACATTGATTTGATATAACACGATTGTGGAAGTCTTAAATTCAAACTATAATATTTAATGGATTGAATTCAAAATGTTGTTAAACTCATCTTCAATAAATTGTAAAACTCATGTTAGTGTGAAAACGAATGTCATAATTTAATGCGATCAAATAGAGAAGAAGATTTTGAGATTAATAAAAGATGTGAGAAGATTTTGAGACTCTAGAAATTTTGAGACTAATAAAAGATGTAAGAAGATTTTGAAACTCTAGAAATTGAGTCGTTAGTTTGCTATTTGGAGTGATTTGGTTTAGATTGGTTTAAATTGAGTTATTTTTAATTTTCATATATATATATAGAGGACGATTGTGAAATACCTGTGGAGCTTGCTAGGTTGTTACAACAAGAAGAGAAAGCTATACAGCCACATGAAGAGCCAGTCGAAGTTGTGAATCTGGGAACTGAAGAAAACAGAAAAGAGATCTGAACAAGGCTAGCCCTAAAGATGATTTTCCACTTCCTCATATTGATATTCTGGTAGACAACACTGCTCAGCATAAGGTATTCTCTTTTATGGATGGTTTCTCTGGTTACAATCAAATCAAGATGGCACCTGAAGATATGGAGAAGACTACATTTGTGACACAGTGGGGCACCTTTTGCTATAAGGTAATGCCATTTGGTTTGAAGAATGCAGGGGCAACATATCAGCGTGCTATGGTGGCTTTGTTTCATGATATGATTCATCATGAGATAGAGGTATATGTGGATGATATGATAGCCAGATTTCAGAATGAAGAGCAACATCTTGATCATCTGCACAAGTTGTTTGAGAGGTTGAAGAAATACAGGTTGAGATTAAATCCAAACAAGTGTACTTTTGGAGTTAGATCTGGAAAGCTCCTGGGTTTCATTGTCAGTGGAAAAGGTATTAAATCCATTCGTGTTCACTCTATGCTTTTTATTGACATCAAACACTTGTGTAAGCGGAAGCCGGGGAGGATGGCGAAATTGAAAGACGAAAACTTTTGATTGTATGCTTTCGAATAAAACATGCTGATGATGTACGAGCATTGTTTCAAATTCCTAAACACCGAAGATATAAGGAAGATAATCCCATGTTAACCCCTTTGAGCTAAGAGTAACAACTACCTATAGCAGCATATCCTTTCTCAATTATGGATAACACAACACTTTCTTGTTTCTTTACATGTAAATCGATAAGCGAGTTTCCATGTAAGTGACACATATCACTGGTGCTTTTGTATCCAATTTGGACCCAGTAAAATCAGAATTGGTGTACCCAACTAAGCCACAATTCACTCCCTGGGGTACCATAGAACAATTTGTTATGTGTTAGTGAGATATATCATGATGCATTTGACTGCACTAAGATGTGATTCTTTTGAAGATGCTTGAAAGCGAGCACATAAATATCATGATCATATATATATATATATATATATATATATATATATATATATATATATATATATATATATATATATATATATATATATATATAATAAAAAGATAAATTTAAATTTATTTTAAATTTAATTTGTTTTTTAATTGAAATCATTATTGAGTTTTTTAGTTGAAATCATTATTGAGTTTGTGATTATGAGATAAATATTTATTTTTTAATTAATAATTTTTTTTAATTTATTTCACAATGACAAACTCACCATAATTTTAACTAAAAAATAAATTTAATATTTTCTTCTTTTATATATATATATATATATATATATATATATATATATACTTTTTTGAAAATGTTAACAAATATCTTGATGTACTCTTTAAGACTTCTAAATGGTAATTTTTTATAAAACTTTGTATGATCAATATATTGAAAATGTTTGTTTTTAAAGAAAAGATTAATATGGAATTCTTAAAGAGCAATGGGGCACTTTAGTAAAACTATTTTTTAGCAGACCTATTATATCTTTTAAGAATATTGAAAGAAGAATCAATATGAATTGGGCAGAATAATAAATTGAAGGAGGTTGATAAAATGATACATTGGTGATTAGACAAGTTTGAGCAAGACAGGGTAGAGAGACCTGTTATATCTCTTTCTCTCTTTTAGCAAGACGTTTTTAGGGTAGAGAGACCTGATATATCTCTCTCTCTTTTAGCAAGACGTTTTTAGCCGACCTGTTATATTGGCGATTTGACACGTTTGGTTAAGACATGTTTTTAGCCGACATCTCTAATTTATTTTTCTATTTATTAGTTGTTTCTCTCTTTTATTGGTTTTTTTTTTCTTTTCATTTTTATTAGTTGTTTCTTTCTTTTATTGGTTTTTCTCAGGGATGACAAATAAATTTGGATTCGGCCGCACCCGTTTGAGACCGCTCCGAAATTAATAAAAAAAATTGATTAATTGAGTGCGGATGCGAGAGAAATCCGATTCTTAATTACGAATTTAGATGCGGGTACGGAAAAACACTAAGACCTGTCTACATCTGTCCTATTCTTAACACTGCATTTTATTTTAATTCATTTATTTTATTTATTTTAATATTTATTTATTAATTATATTTTTAATTAAATTATTAATATTTTTATTATAATTAAATTAATCAAGTTAATATTTATTTATTAATTAAATAATTAATTAATTTATTAAAATATTAAATTTTTTACAATTAAAATGAAATTAATTTTTTACGGGTGGAGACAGACACAAGTGCATCCGTTTTACACTAAAAGCGGATTTAAGTAAATTTTTACTTTCAATTGAGCTTGGGAGCGAAATAAATATGTTATACATAGACGGGTGCAGATATATATATAATTAAATCCGCTCCTTTGTCATTTCTAATTTTTCTCATTGATTCCTATCCGTCTCTATTGATTAATATAAGGTATTTAGAAATTTTAAGACTGTACGATCAATATTAAATGATAATTTTGTAAGTTTATTAAATATTTAATATATTTGATTTGATATATAATAATTGTCGAGATTTAGAATTTTTTTTTAAAATAACAATGTTATAATTTTTATTTATCAAACAAATTATAGTTTCAAAAAAATTATTAAAATGGCAAGGTTTGGAATTGCTTCAGCAGACGTTCGCCAATTCGTTTGGCGAATTAGGCTAAGCAGCAACATATCATTTTCAAGGGATTCGCCATTTGGTTTGGCGAATGGGCTTTGTTTGTGGGCTTTCGCCCATTCAATTGGCGAATGAGGTTTGTGTTTTAGGGTTTGTTTCGTTTTCAATTTGCTTTTAATTATCATAAAATATATTAATTGTGTTTTTCGTAAAATATATTTTCGTTTTCATATTTAAAGTCTTAAAATTTAATTGTTTTTTGATTTTAATTATTATTATTATTAACCATAAAATATATTAATTTATAATCTAATTAATATTAATATAATTAAAATATATTCGTAAGCATAAAGTGATAATAAAATGAAATTATATTAATTTATAATGTAATTAAAAATACACGAACAAAAATATAAATATAATGAAAATTACAAAAAAAAAACCTAATGATCGGCTCTATCCAAGTGACCACCGGTGCCACATTGGGGGGGACGCGTGTTGCGACGAGGTCTTTGACGAGGTTGTTGTGGTGTGTCAGGATGTTGTGTGTTGAGTTGTGGTGGAGGGTTCTGTTGGGACGGCCCCGGCGTATCAGCTAGATCTTGCATCATTTGACTCCAAAGCCGGGAGGTCCCATGTCACATGCACTTCCTAGTCAAGGCCAATGCCCATGTTTTGGTACGATTGTCGGGGAGGGTGGGTGGAGTATGGACGGTATGGTTGTCCGAAAGTGTACATGGAGTTGGGTTGGTCTATGTGTGTTGGTTGTTGTGGGGTGTGGTAGTTAAATAGTGGGTGGTTGGAGGTGTAGTTGGAGGGGGTAGGGTCGAATGAGTTGTCCGGGATATAGGTGGCAGGGGTAGGATCAAAAGACATATCAGGGCTGTACTGGTAAAATGGTTGAGGCTGAGATTGGATTGGTGGCATGTAAGGTGGTTGTTGTTGATAGGGGGTATATGTTGGCATGGATTGGGGGGTGTCTTCGTATGGTGGTTGTTGTTGATGGTCTTCGTATGGTGGTTGTTGTTGATGGGGGGTGTCTGTTGGTATTTGTGGGTATGATGAAGAACCGCGTTCCCTTGGATCGGCCAAATAGGTTGGCTGGGACAGAAAAGGCTGGGTTGTCGTGACAGAACTAAACCAAGTCATATATTGAAGACTTGGCCTAGCCCCG